CTGAAGCCAGCTCAGGTGAAGGTGTATGATTACTATGAGACAGGTAAGTGTGGGGCTGAGGGTGTCCCGGTGAGTGACTGTGGGGAGCTGGATTCATGGAGGTGTCTGGGAGCAATGGAAACCCACAGCTGTTCCTGCATTGTCCCTCTGCTTGTCCCTCTGCATTCCTGGGAGAGGGACCTCTGACAGCCCTGCTCTTTCTCTTCCCTCCTGTTTTTCAGATGAGTTTGCCATACAGGAGTACGGTGCTCCCTGCACCACAGGTAGGGTACATAGGAGCAAATAGCCTATTGCAAATTATTTTGAATGGAAGTCTTTTGCAAACCTTAGGCTTCCTTTGCCTACAACAAGTCTCTGAGCTTGTCTTTACCATGCCTACAGCAGGCTTGAGTCATACCGTAGTACAGAGGGGGAAAATAATGCTGGGCACCCTGTGTTATATTTCATTTTATTCACTGAGACCATGAATCTCAGTGCTATCGCCTTAAGTCAGACAGAGGCACTTGTCTTTTCCTGTGTGTGCTTCACATTGTACAAATGAGACCGAAGTCTTCCTTGGGACAGAGCACCATGCTCAACCTCTGCGTATCTACCTTTTTCAAGGCCACTTTCACCATGCTGCAGATACAGAAGTGCGTTGAGGAATTGTCTCCCAGCCACCTTGGTGAAATGTTCACATGTCTTCAGTGAATTTCAAGCTTTGCCCTAGGTTCTTTTTTCCGATCCTGTGGGAAATCCATGTGCCACAAGACAACGTTTACTCTGATAGCTCATGCCTCTCCTTCCTTCTCTGTAGTATGGATGTAATGAACATGTCCAGCCATTCCCAATATGTTGTCCTTCTGCAACGTGGCAATTTTACGTGTTGTAGGTTCACAGATTTTAACAGGGTTTAAGCTGACATGGCACAAAAGGGGCTACCACAGAATGCAGAGAAGTCGTCTGGGGTTCTGGGTATTGCTTCACCAGGAATTCTCTCTCACTCTGTCCTTTCCCCACCTCCAGCCAAAGCTGAACAGGGAAATGCCTGAAGAATACATCTGTGCCCTGATGGATCAGCTGACTTGTTTCTGCCCTTAGTAGTCTTCCTTAACGAGTCCTCTACAATGTTACATGTAACCAACACCAAAAGCAAAGCAATACAATAAAAATAAATAAAGTCTTGATCCTCCCCATCTGCCTCTGGCCTTATTTTTTTGTTAGCATTTCTCGTGTCTCTTCTCATCCACATTGCAGCGAAGTGCTCTGAGATTTAGATAGAGCCGTCCATGCCAACACGGTGTTTGGCAAGTCCTTGGGAATACCAGAAGGTAGGCAGCTTTTGGCAGTGAGGAGGCGTGTTGTCACGCTTGCCGGTTCTCTAGGAGGAATGGGAATTCTGCCTGATCCATTATGCAGCATCTCCCTGCCTATAAATGCAGGTGTTTTCTGTGATATAATTAATTGCTGGACATAAGCCTCTCTCCATATTCCTCCTCTCATTCCACAGTGAAATGGGTTCTGTGCAACAGGAGGACAGCGTAAAACTTGTTCATTCTGGTTTTTCAGAGCAGACCAGAGAGAAATGGAAGGAAGACCTGCGAAGGAAAGTCTGGTTCTGAAGACATTGTCTGCTGGTTTCTAAACAGCTGAAGTGAAAGCAGAGAGGAACTGCAAACTTAACAGCATTGTTACTTGGGATTACAATCAAGTACTACATGATGGGAATACCATCCCAGCATACCACCAGCATACCATCAGCCTTTTTAGCCCCAAGGCACACTGCTGGCTCATAGAGTCACAGAATGGCCTGGGTTGAAAAGGACCACAATGATCATGTACTTTCAACCCCTGCTATGTGCAGGGTCACCAACCACCAGACCAGGCTGCCCTGAGCCACATCCAGCCTGGCCTTTAATGCCTCCAGGGATGGGGCATCTACAACCTTCTTGGACAACCTGTTCCAGCGTGTCACCACACTCTGAGTGAAAAACTTCTTTCTAATATCTAACCTAAACCTCCCCTGTCTCAGTTTAAGACCATTCCCCCTTGTCCTATCACTATCCACCTTTGTAAAAAGCCATTCCCCCCCCCTGTGCCTACACTCCCTTCAAATATTGGAAGGCCACAATGAGGTCTCCCTGGCGCCTTCTCTTCTCCAAGCTAAACAAGCCCAGTTCCCTCAACCTTTCCTCATAGGAGAGGTTATACAGTCCTCTGATCATCTTAGTGGCCCTCCTCTGGACCTGCTGGCTCATAGAGTCATAGAGTGGCCTGGGTTGAAAAGGACCACAAGTTTCTAATTACAGAATCACTGAACCGTATGGGTTTGCTGGCAATACAAAGTTGGGAGAAGTGGCTGACATACCAGAAGGCTGTGCTGCCATTCAACAAGACCTGGACAGACTCATGAGTTGAGCTAAGAGGAATCTTATGAGGAATCTACATCTGGGTAGGAATAACCATGTTCTTGTGAGGCCTCATCTGGAGTACTGCATCCAGACCTGGAGTCCCCAGTACAGGAAGGACTGGAGCACTTAGGGCAGGTCCAGAGGAGGGCCACTAAGATGATCAGAAGACTGACCCAGGCCATTCTATGACTCTATGAGCCAGCAGTGTGCCTTGGGGCTTAAAAGGCTGATGGTATGCAGGTGTGCAATAAGAAGAGAGTGGCTAGCAAGTTGAGGGAGGTTCTCCTCTCCACTACTATGCCCTGGTGAGGTTCAGTGATTCTGTAATTAGAAACTATACCGGAGATGCAAATCTGTTCGATATTGTAAGCTAAACACATAACTTAGAAGAGGTTGGATTAGAGACTTGGATAAGTACCTATCAGAGAGCAACTCAAAAAATGCATGGTTTCTAAGCCAGGGAAGAGAAACTTTTTTCTATTGATTAGACAGTATCTTAAAAATCTCAGAAAATTCGGATAGTGATTTTCTACCATAGAGAAAGCTGGAAGGTGTGCCCAGTCTTTACTATTAAAGTGGTCAGAATCTGGCCACCTGGGCTGTAGTGATCATGCCCTGGTGGAGTTTGTGATCTTGAAGAATGCGGGCTTGGCAAAAAGTAGAGTTAGGGCCCAGTGCTTTAGGAGAGCAAACTTCCAGCTGCTCAAGGAACTGCTGAGTGGGATCCCCTTGGAATGAGAGGGCTGATGTGGTTGCCGAGCCGCTCTCCATCATATTTGAAAAACCACGGCTGTCCACTAAAGTCCCTGGAGTGGCTAGCAAGTTGAGGGAGGTTCTCCTACCCCACTGCGATGCCCTGATGAGGCCATATCTGGAGGACTGTGTTCTGTTCCGGGCTCTGTAATCAGAGGCCTTACTGGAACAGCTATCTCCTTCACCTTTCCAGCAGGTCATCCCCTAACCTGCTTATTCCCATCACGTAGTACTTGATTGTAATTCCAAATAACAGTAGCTTACAATATTAGCTTACAATATCGAACAGATTTGCATCTCCGGTATAGTTTCTAATTACAGAATCACTGAACCTCACCAGGGCATAGTAGTGGAGAGGAGAACCTCCCTCAACTTGCTAGCCACTCTCTTCTTATTGCACACCTGCATACCATCAGCCTTTTAAGCCCCAAGGCACACTGCTGGCTCATAGAGTCATAGAATGGCCTGGGTCAGTCTTCTGATCATCTTAGTGGCCCTCCTCTGGACCTGCCCTAAGTGCTCCAGTCCTTCCTGTACTGGGGACTCCAGGTCTGGATGCAGTACTCCAGATGAGGCCTCACAAGAACATGGTTATTCCTACCCAGATGTAGATTCCTCATAAGATTCCTCTTAGCTCAACTCATGAGTCTGTCCAGGTCTTGTTGAATGGCAGCACAGCCTTCTGGTATGTCAGCCACTTCTCCCAACTTTGTATTGCCAGCAAACCCATACGGTTCAGTGATTCTGTAATTAGAAACTTGTGGTCCTTTTCAACCCAGGCCACTCTATGACTCTATGAGCCAGCAGGTCCAGAGGAGGGCCACTAAGATGATCAGAGGACTGTATAACCTCTCCTATGAGGAAAGGTTGAGGGAACTGGGCTTGTTTAGCTTGGAGAAGAGAAGGCGCCAGGGAGACCTCATTGTGGCCTTCCAATATTTGAAGGGAGTGTAGGCACAGGGGGGGGGAATGGCTTTTTACAAAGGTGGATAGTGATAGGACAAGGGGGAATGGTCTTAAACTGAGACAGGGGAGGTTTAGGTTAGATATTAGAAAGAAGTTTTTCACTCAGAGTGTGGTGACACGCTGGAACAGGTTGTCCAAGAAGGTTGTAGATGCCCCATCCCTGGAGGCATTAAAGGCCAGGCTGGATGTGGCTCAGGGCAGCCTGGTCTGGTGGTTGGTGACCCTGCACATAGCAGGGGTTGAAAGTACATGATCATTGTGGTCCTTTTCAACCCAGGCCATTCTGTGACTCTATGAGCCAGCAGTGTGCCTTGGGGCTAAAAAGGCTGATGGTATGCTGGTGGTATGCTGGGATGGTATTCCCATCATGTAGTACTTGATTGTAATCCCAAGTAACAATGCTGTTAAGTTTGCAGTTCCTCTCTGCTTTCACTTCAGCTGTTTAGAAACCAGCAGACAATGTCTTCAGAACCAGACTTTCCTTCGCAGGTCTTCCTTCCATTTCTCTCTGGTCTGCTCTGAAAAACCAGAATGAACAAGTTTTACGCTGTCCTCCTGTTGCACAGAACCCATTTCACTGTGGAATGAGAGGAGGAATATGGAGAGAGGCTTATGTCCAGCAATTAATTATATCACAGAAAACACCTGCATTTATAGGCAGGGAGATGCTGCATAATGGATCAGGCAGAATTCCCATTCCTCCTAGAGAACCGGCAAGCGTGACAACACGCCTCCTCACTGCCAAAAGCTGCCTACCTTCTGGTATTCCCAAGGACTTGCCAAACACCGTGTTGGCATGGACGGCTCTATCTAAATCTCAGAGCACTTCGCTGCAATGTGGATGAGAAGAGACACGAGAAATGCTAACAAAAAAATAAGGCCAGAGGCAGATGGGGAGGATCAAGACTTTATTTATTTTTATTGTATTGCTTTGCTTTTGGTGTTGGTTACATGTAACATTGTAGAGGACTCGTTAAGGAAGACTACTAAGGGCAGAAACAAGTCAGCTGATCCATCAGGGCACAGATGTATTCTTCAGGCATTTCCCTGTTCAGCTTTGGCTGGAGGTGGGGAAAGGACAGAGTGAGAGAGAATTCCTGGTGAAGCAATACCCAGAACCCCAGACGACTTCTCTGCATTCTGTGGTAGCCCCTTTTGTGCCATGTCAGCTTAAACCCTGTTAAAATCTGTGAACCTACAACACGTAAAATTGCCACGTTGCAGAAGGACAACATATTGGGAATGGCTGGACATGTTCATTACATCCATACTACAGAGAAGGAAGGAGAGGCATGAGCTATCAGAGTAAATGTTGTCTTGTGGCACATGGATTTCCCACAGGATCGGAAAAAAGAACCTAGGGCAAAGCTTGAAATTCACTGAAGACATGTGAACATTTCACCAAGGTGGCTGGGAGACAATTCCTCAACGCACTTCTGTATCTGCAGCATGGTGAAAGTGGCCTTGAAAAAGGTAGATACGCAGAGGTTGAGCATGGTGCTCTGTCCCAAGGAAGACTTCGGTCTCATTTGTACAATGTGAAGCACACACAGGAAAAGACAAGTGCCTCTGTCTGACTTAAGGCGATAGCACTGAGATTCATGGTCTCAGTGAATAAAATGAAATATAACACAGGGTGCCCAGCATTATTTTCCCCCTCTGTACTACGGTATGACTCAAGCCTGCTGTAGGCATGGTAAAGACAAGCTCAGAGACTTGTTGTAGGCAAAGGAAGCCTAAGGTTTGCAAAAGACTTCCATTCAAAATAATTTGCAATAGGCTATTTGCTCCTATGTACCCTACCTGTGGTGCAGGGAGCACCGTACTCCTGTATGGCAAACTCATCTGAAAAACAGGAGGGAAGAGAAAGAGCAGGGCTGTCAGAGGTCCCTCTCCCAGGAATGCAGAGGGACAAGCAGAGGGACAATGCAGGAACAGCTGTGGGTTTCCATTGCTCCCAGACACCTCCATGAATCCAGCTCCCCACAGTCACTCACCGGGACACCCTCAGCCCCACACTTACCTGTCTCATAGTAATCATACACCTTCACCTGAGCTGGCTTCAGGCCCTGCACAGGGATGTCCTGCTCCACCGTGAAGGAGAAGCTCAAGGTCACGTTGCTCAGCTGGGAAAAGGAAGTGATGGAGGATCAGTGTCCGCTTTCTGTCTGCCCTGGGCTCTCCTGCTGTCCCCTCACTGAACTCTTCCTACTAGTGCTCTTGCTGCCAGCAGTGCCCTGGGCACTGGGAGTGTATGTGTGTGAGAGCGTGCCCCTCAGCAGGCCTGGCTGAGGGACAAGGGGAAACCCCAGGGCCTTTCCCCACACTGAGGGAGCTCATGTCTGGTGGGCAGGTGTAGGCTGATCTGTATGCAGGCCCAGAGGGAAAACCTGCTGAGGGCTGTGAGGAAGGCACCAGTAAATTCTGAGGTCAGCAAAAGTCAGTTCATTGTACTTTTATCAGATCCAGTTTTGAGACCCGTGTCTTTTGCCTTGGGTGGCCAAATGTCCCCAAGGCTTGTGTTTTTCTTTCCCATTCTAGCCCCAAACGGAGACTCACCTTTTCCAGATACACTAAGACATGGTTGGTACTGAACTCTGTACGCTCAATGACTTGGTGGTGTGCCAGCTGAAGAAAGAAGACCAAATTGTTATTGAATTGAGGGTGGTCCCCCTGTGCCGTTTTCACTGCCCCATGGACGGGACACACTACGGATAAAGCACTAGGAGTACTGACAGCAGTGACTAGGCCTGCCTTGTGGAACTGACTCCCTGGTGCACCATTAGCCATTAATGGTCCCCAGGTCTCCCCTTCACCAGCCTGGCAGATTAAATACTGAGCAGCTCCGGCAGGGACTGATCACTGGTCCAAACACAGCAAAGAGAGGATTCAATGACAATGCATTTTTTTAGGCTTGCTAGTTCTGCAGTATCTTATAATCTCTGCTCTTTTCCAGGGCAACACACTTGCTCAACACCTCACAAAGGCACCTGAGCCTTAAACAATTACAAGACAAGCTATAAACTATATGGTAAGATCAGCGGAAGGAAAAAGAAACCAGTATTGCTTTTGAATGTGATACACACGGACAATGTTTTCAGCAAGGTATCTGAACTCAGAGATAACCCATCCCCTGTCCAAAGAGAAAAAAACAAACATAGTCTGCTTTACACAGATGGATCACGTAGTACTGGCTTCCAGCCAGGTGTGGAAAGAAAAGTACTGTACACACATCATGTGTGTAGATGACAATGGCAGGATCAAGACGATGTCAATCCTAGAGCCCCCTAGTAAGCCACAGACACCTGGAACATGTCTTAAAAATAAAGGAGAAACTGAATGCGGCCCAGGTGATAAAACGAAAGGGGCAGATATCCTCAGACAAACAATTCACGTGGGTTCCTACCTTCCTCACTGAGGACTTGACAGGGATGAATCCCGACAGCATTTTCACATCGATAATCACCATGTTGGAGACACTGCGCTCACCCACGTAACTAAGGAATCAAGCCACAGAGATTCAGGGCACGCCACGTCAAAGCTGGGGCACTTCCACTTTTTCTGTAACACTTGACACCTCACCACTTCCTGTCAATCCAGCACCTTCTTCTCCAGCCTAGTCACCTGTGCTGCCCCTCAGTAGCTCAGCGCTTTGCTCCCTGCACAGCTTATCCCCACAGGACATCTCTTGCCTCCACAGCCCCTCCTCCCAGCCCGGCTGCTTCCAGCCCACTTCCCAGTCCAGGTGGCTTCTCCGTCCCTTCCAGACCGGCTCCCCCTGCACCGCCAGACCTCCTCCAGCTCCCTCAGCTACTCAGGAGGGCTCAAACCAAACACAGACTTACCTGACGTTTATGCCTATGTCAAAGACCTTGTGAGCCTTGGAGTCCTCACACGTCTCTGGTCTCGTGTGTACATGCAGCAGGAAGGGCGCGCTCTCCTGCTTGGGCTGCACGTTGTACCTCAGGCTTGTCTACGGGAGAGCCAGCAGCTGTGTGTGTGCATGCTCAACGCTTGAAAGAGATCATCGTCTGCCTGCCCGGCTCTCTCCCTTCCCCACTCTCACACCTCCCCAGCACTCATGGCTCTTTCCCTCTCTCACTGTCGCTCCGTTCTCCACGCAACTCTGCTCCTCTCCGGCTTCTCCCGGAGCTTTCCCTTGCGCTCCTCCCCCCCTCCCTTATCCCTTCTGCCCTCCCCCTCGCTCCTGCCTGAGAGAGGGCTCCCCTGCCAGGACGGCACTTTCCCCACCACCCTCACCTGCAGGTAGACGCATCCCTTGCCAGACACCTCTACACTGTACTCCCCTGGCACCTGGGGCAGGGGCACGTGCTGGAGCAGCAGCCGGTTTGAGGGATCCACGTGGAAGTCTTGCTGGAAGTCCCCTCCAGATCGCAGGGTCACTTTGGAAGCTGCTCCGCTCTTGGCATAGGTGGAAACTCCGTACAAGGAGAGGGCTTGCAGAGCCACAACTGTGTCCTGCAAGAGCCAGGCCCGACACCCATGGCCGGGTTAGCCCTCTTAACCATCCCACATCCTGTTCTCCCACAGCCCGCCCTTTGCTGTCAGCAGGCACCCTCTCCTCCGTTCTTCACTTTCTCTGGTCTTAAGCGAGAAGCTGAAAGGGAAAGATCAGCCTTTGCAGGCGCCCATTTTCTTCCCGTGTCCTCTGCACAGCAGTCACGTATTCCTGAACTTGCTGTGGCGAAGCTCTGTGCAGCCTTTACCTGTTCTCCCCGGGGAAAAGCAGCAACTGCATACACACACAAACTATGGCGGGAGCTCCAAACTGCAGTGTCATTTGTGTCACCAGCATTCTCACCCACTGGCTCAAATAAGCCAGGTCATTAATCAACGTATCAGTCATTCCCTGCGGTGCTACCTGACATACTGGCCTTGGCCTCTCGGGAACTCGGTAGCTGCGGCAGATGCTAATACTGCGGGGCTACAGTCCCCACTTGGCTTAACCTTACTGCGCTCCCACCCTGGTCTCCGGCACTCTCCTGATATTGATATGGGAGGTCACAGGAGGGAAACTGCTGCTCACCTGGGTGGAGGAGAAGCCTCCGTTGGGATTCTGCTGACCAATGATCCACTTTGCAATACGAGATGCGAGTGACAGCTCCTCCTGCGAAGGTGCTGGCTGCGTGGTGAGATGAGCAAGAAGCACATAGGCTGTCATCTCCACTTCAGCAGAGGGAGCTTTATAGCGGTAGTACGGGAGATCAGCCTCTGGCTCTTTCCCAGGCCGCTGCCAGTGAACAGACCCGTCTTCACAGGAGGCAGGGTACATGTAGAGAAGACGGCAAGGAATTAGTAGCAGTTTCTTGCAAGGGAGTTACTGACCTGCTGCCAGTGGGGAGGAGAGAGCCCCTGGCATGTACCTGTCCTATAAGATGAAATGGGAAGGGTTAGATAGCCCCACACTCGATGCGTGTTTACAACTAGTCTAAGAGTGCCAAGGTTCCTGGGCCTGGATGCCACTTTCACTTAAACTCCAGATTGACAGACACATTTACACGTTTGGACACCTAAAGGAGACAGAGACCTAAGAAGAACACCAGGCTGGCACACTGCCCCGTTTTGAGAAGTGGTACTTCCTTCGCAACCCTGCTGGACAACATTTGGGCAAACGGACCATCCAGGCTGACTTTACCAGGATGGTTCTGAGTCTTGATACAGTTTCCTGGAAGACTCAGTGCTTATGCTAGGACCTCTGAAATGACCCATTCTGTCTCGGCACTTCCATCTCTTCTCTGATGTATGACGCTGTGAGGGGTAAGCTTTGTTCTGTGTTGAGCGTGTCTGCTGGAAGGAAGGAGCGGCTATAAACATTGCTAAGACTTTGTTAAAGCAGTGCCTGCGATGACAGGAGGAGTAGACTGACATGAGGCATTAGCAGAGCCACCCTTTTGTTCATCACCAACGGGAATGGTGAGGGGTGCCTCCAGACGAATCCCTCAGAACAGAGGGGTAGGACGGGGCACCCACGATGAGCCGTCAAAAACACCACCACACTGCACAAGCATTTCCTCTCCCTACAGCTTTCCCCATCCACAGAAGCCGTTCCATGCTCCCATTTCCCCACCAACAAAGGCCATTTTATCAGAGATAGAGGTAAGATCTGTGGGATAGAAGAAAGCAATGTCCCACCAAGAGCGCTCACCCTTTTGGACGGCTTCCTTTTCAAGTGAGCCAAGGAACGTCTTCCTCTTCTCCTCCTTCCCTGCCAGGGCAAAGGCATATGCCAGCAGTGCCTTGGTGTACACGTGGTTTTCTTCCCCATTTCCTGCCGTTTCCAGGCAGAACAGAGCATTGCGCACCACCGAGTGCTGGGGAGATGGAGACACTAAGACCAGGCAGCAAGACGTCATACCGAAGTCCATCTTAGAACAACAGGAACTGTATGGTATCCACGGTCCCTTTACAACCCTAGCACACTGTCTGATATATATTGTACCACTGCCTTTTCCTTTCCCTCCAGGTCTGCTTCCTTATGTGATATATGAGTAACCAAAGAGTGTTCTTTATTCTGTACCTTTCCTTTCTCTGAAATATCTTGTTACAATGATTTTTGCGAGCAGTTCAGTGATTTTGCATTGAAAGTTTGAAGCAAGGTCCAATTCTTCTGCCTATGGAAGCATTCACTGCCTGACGGTGCGTTGCATCAACACAGTAAGCCCATACAGGTCGTCTAACAGGCACGTACAATTCTGACACAAAAGGAGTTTTTCTTATGGATGTAAAAAACCTATCTGGGTCATTTCTGAAATTTAAATGTTATTTAACTCACTATGAATCCACGGAGTACTCTTTAAAATGAGCAAAAGCAAGGTACCCCAGAAATGAACTTAGGGGAAGATGAAGTGAAATGTTTGCATAAGAGACAGTATTGGACAGGGGAGGAAAGTGGAGAAAAAGCATCAGTCCATCTTGGACTTGAAAAGAAAGAAAGTATATCCAGATAGAATTTCTTCTTTCAAAATATAAAGGGGCCTAATCATCTATAGGAGGCTATTGGGGCAGGTTAGTACCGTCTGTGACTCGGGTGACACATACAGTTACAGGCAGAGGAATCTCCAGCAGTGCAATAGTGATGTAGGCTGTCAGTGTTACCTCATCGTTCACTCCACCCTGCAGGGAAACATAAAATTAGATGCTTACTCCACACATCTTCTCAAAGTCATTTTTCTACCATTCCTATGGGTACACTTGATTCTGTATTGTAGCCCCTTAGCTCGTGTCCTCCCCACTGATGCTCGTATTGTGCCGTTTATGGATTGCCTTGTTCTCCTTCTTGTCATGGCAGTCACACAAAACGGCCTCTGGCTTTTTAGTTCTTGCCATTGATATGGGAATTCCCCAAGGGCCTGTGTGCTCAAGAAGCTCAGCTGCAGCCATCTGATTTAGGGTCAAGTGCCAGCCTCACTAAGATCCAGCTATGCTACCTTCATGGCATTGTTCAGGAGCATCCCAGAGCTGCGGAAGCAGCCATTCTCCTTCTGATTTTGACTGAGCCAGATCAAAGCATCCTGGATGTGCTTTTCATCTATGAAGATGTAAGGCCGGGCCTGGGCAAAGGACTTCAGGACAAAGGCTGTGAGCCTGTAAGGGAGACAGAACAGTGAGAGGGCTTGTGCAGGCCTGCTGTCCATGCCAGGTGACAGAGCTTCACTTGTCTGGAAGAAGGAAAAGCGGCTTGGAGATCTGCAGGTCAATTAGTCAGACACGAAGTACGCCTTCACCACAAAGAATCTGCCAAAAAAAGAATCTGCTTCTTGCCTTGCTTTCTTTTCTGCCTCTTGGCCCATATAACCCTATGATCCTGCTGCACAGAGGCTACCCTTTTGAGGACTTCAGGTTGTTAATGTGTATCCAAATAAATGTCTTTGGAAAACAGTAGAGTATTGCATGCCGATTAGCTCAACATCTGTATGAGAGTAATAATCAGAATAACAAGAAAGAATCAATCCATAGAAGCTTATGGTCCGCTGGCAGGACTCTCTCTCCAGATAGCCATGTCTCAGGGGCTCCCCAGAATTCCCCAGAGATGTTGGTAAAACTGTGGATAAAGTATAACACGCTAGAAGAGCTTTTACAAAGCAGTTATGGGAAAAAAAGCTAAAAAACTAGGCATGTAGAGAGGCCAATTACTCCCAGGGCACAAGTACTGTTTCAGAGTCCAAAAGCAAGGTGATGAAATCATCCATTCTTACCCTTGCCTAAAGCTGAAAAGGCATGGTAATAACATGCTGGAGTCACTCAGAGCTCTGCAGTAAATCACACTGGCAACACACCCTCTCCTCCAGGCTGTCTTCTGTTTGGTAACAAACGCATTTGGAAGATAACCATACAGCACTGCTTTTGGATTATCGTCCTTTACGAAAATACCTTTCCCAGCAGTTCTCAGCAGATCCTACTCTGGAAGAGCTGCCACTGCAACTCTTCAGCTTTCTTCATTTGGGATGTGAAATCCCTTCTCCCTCCTTTCCCAGTTTGTTTTTGTCTGTCTTTCTTGTCCATCATAGTCCTCGTAGCTGCAAGGGGGGAGGAGATGCTTCAGCTACATAACTGGCTGATGCAGCCTCTTTCCTCACTTAAGAGGCAGCACAGGGCCCACAGCAGCTCTGAAAAGTCCACTGGTCTACAACTACATTTCTTATTTACCATCAGGTGGTATTTGTCATAGCTGCGTAGCTGAGAAAGAGAGCATGTGGAAGAGCAGCAGATGACACTGAAATCTCACCAGGTGTTCCCCCGTTGGCCATAACGTGGTCCAAAGGTACTGTAAGAGCCATCTGGGTGCTTGTAGTTCATCTGCCTCTGATAACCTGCAGAGGTTAAAAAAAAAAAAAAAAAGTTAAAGCAGTGTTCAGAGAATGTCTGCTGAGCAACGCAGGGGAGAAGAGAAAAGCAGCTTCATCAGCGACAGCAAAACAGAGAAACAGGTTAGTCCTATCCTAGCACATACAACCCCACCTCCATATACTGCTTATACTGCAAGAGATGCAGTATCTGCCTTTCTTCAGAAGGCGGGCAGGAGACACATTAACAGCAACGGACAAGCCGCTGCAGCAGGTCACCTGGTATCGGTGCACTGCATTCCAGTTCTGTTAAGGAGCAGAGAAAAGTGGGTGAAATGACGAGGTGCTTGAATGCATAAGAAACAGAGAATAGAAAAAAGACATGGGAAAGACTTCCCTGGCGTACAGAAGAGGCCATCTGAGTAAGAGACAAGCTGTATCTGGTCAGCATTTGACAGAAACAAGCCAGACAAGTTCTGAAAAAGTTCAGAGCAGAAGCAAAAGTCCCGTTCAACTCACCGCTCACTAAGTATCCAATGGCCTTGGATTTGACCTCCTCACTCAGCTGTCCTGTCTTGTTCAGATAGTCCAGGACATAGACGTTGGGTGCAAACAAGACCATGTTCTGTTCGCCACAACCAAATGGCATCTGGAGTAGCTGGTGCAGGTTCTGCATGGCGGTGCCCATGAGATCGCCTAAGGAACAGGGAATACAAGAGGGATATTAATGAAATTCAGCGTTAGCTGCCAAAATCAGAGGGATCTACAGAAAAACAGAAGGAGGAGATGGCAGAATATCTGGCAGAAATATCTGGCAGAAAAATCTGTATTGGTAACAATCCTGGAATGACACACAGAGCACAACAATGAAAAAAAAGGAGGGTGATAAGTCAACGGATAGGTCACTAGCAGAGAAACCGGACAGAACGAGATGCAGAAAGAGCAACAAACGAAACAGAATTGAAAGGGAAAGCACTTGAGACAGAAGAGAGGAAAGGCAGGAACGAAGTGTGCTTGGAACCAGGAGAAGAATCTGTGTGAGAGCTAGGAGGCGAACACAGTCATGCAGATGGGCAGAAACAGCACGTTTCTTTCTCCCAGCAGATCCTTCCCAGGCCGATCACTCACCTAGCACCGAGAAATATGCTCTGCCTGAGTCTTGTACCACATTTGCGGGAAGCAACAGAGAAAACTTCTCTTTCACAGACTCTCCTGAGAGAAACAAGATGGAACAGCTTCAATGCAGACGCAAGCTTAAAGGAAGGGGCAGGGCCTTCGGTGGAACATCAGAAAAGTTTCCTCTTCCCTTCATCCCTTGCTATACATAAAGATGTCTCTGGGCCCCAAGTGAAGGGTCCTGTTCTGATTATCTACAATCATAGAAGCATCTGAGTTGGAAGGGATCTTTAAAGGTCGTCCAGTCCAACTCCCCTGCAACAAATAGGGACACCTACAGCTCTACCAGATCGCTCAGAGTCTGGTCTGGGCTGATCTTGAATGTCTCCAGGAACGGGGCGCACACCACATCTTTCTGGGCAGTTGTGCCGTCATAGGAAGGCCACAGAGGGTTGGTCAGCCAGGACTCATCCTTGGTGAAACTAGGAGTACTACAAGTACTACTAAAATATACTAGAAATAATTGTTGCAAGCTATATAATGAAAAATGAATTCACATAAAAAAAATGCAAGTGGTACAAGCACAAACTTCCCCGTTTGTATATTTTACAAACTACAGAACTCATTCGCTAGCCATTCATGTAAGACTCTCCCAGCAACATCTGGCGTGAATAAGTTCTGAAGCAATTTGAATAACATGGCAGTTTACTCAGAGAATGACATCTTGTCTCTTTGCCCCTTATCACCACTTGTAGAATGATATTTGTAAAATATCAGCCAACCTGGACAGCGGTAGAGGCAGCGCTGTCTTCTTCCTCCAGGCATGTCCCACTCATCACCCACACAGAAACAAATGGTGGGCAGGGAGGGAGGGCCTTACCTTTCAAACAGAGCACAGAGTTCCGAACAGTTTCCTTCTCAACTCCTTCAGGCTTGGGTGGAATGAAAGAAAACAAGAGAGGTGAGAAATCATTAAGCATACAGACAGAGGGGTGCCTAACAAGGAAAGAGGAACAAGTAAGTGAAAAGTGAACGAACAGGAGAAGGAGAGGCAGTGACAAACACTCCCTGTAATACAGAGAAAGAACTCCGAAATATCAATCCAAGTAAAACAGTCATACTCCTAAATTATTGGAAAGAACAGGAAAAGGAGAGCAACAACACTGCAGGACCATCACGAGGGTGACCTGCAACTACTGTATGCAGTGAGGCTCCTGCATCCTTGTAACAAAAGGGCTGCAGCATTACAGCGAGTGCTTTTGTTAGCAGAAGTCCACAGCACCTCTAGAGGGCCGCTCAGAAGCCGTCTGCAGGGCTATTGATCACAACTTGCAGACGCTTGAGGAAAAAGATCTGTTGAGAATGGAAAGGGGAAATGGGCGCGATGGTATCTGGTGATGCACTTGATGCAACACAGGCAAGTATCACGAGAGGCTGTTTCATGAGAAAAGAGCATCAGGTACCGCTGTCAAGTTACAGCACTCGGCATAATAATCCGTGGGGTCTGCTCCAAAAGTAATGCCTCCTATGTTATAATGTCAGGATGTTGGTGGTATGGCAGGAGAGGCTGAATTTTCCCATCAGTATTCCATTATATTTTGCTGCCATGCAACACATGACTACGGAGAAGCGATGTGAAAAATGACGTCTGACATGGAAGTCTTGGCATACGAAGAAATGGTGTGCATCTGAACAGAAAAAATCGCACCCACTGACATTCATTGGTGCCTGCAGAACATTTACGGAGACCAAGCCACCCACCACCTCAGTGTGCTAACATGTCAGCAAGATTTTTAGAAGCGTGGAGTGCAGGCAAGATTTTTGTAAGTGCTGCATGCACTTAATTGCTGGCAAAAATGCACAGCTACTGGTGGCGACTATGTTGAAAAATAGTATTTTGTAGGTGAGCATTTGCTCTATCAGACTGTGCTACTGTTCTTTTGTGCCTGTTGTAGTTTCCATGAAATTAAGCTGGAGGCATTCATTGTGGAACAATCCACGTAGCGTTTTCCTATAACAAACTATACAGAACTAACTGCCACATCATGTTTCATTCCATACCACCTAGTATCAGCCGTGGAAAACAGATAAGCTGTAAAACTGTAACACGTTCTCACGGACTGTTTTAATATGTAGAGTTTGGGAGGGGGACCTTTATACAGGCATCTAACTCCCACAGGTGCTTTGAATTCCCCACCTTCACCCTGGTGCCAGACCAAAGGTGTGTAACACGCAGCATAACAGGCAGTTTGCTTGGCTACTCGACTTGCAGAGAGACAGCACGTGCTGACGGACAGACCTACTGGGTAAAGCTGTAAAGACAGCGTCCTGAAATAGGAGGTAACATGAAGCAGATATAGGGAAGGGTGAACTGGACTAGGTGTCTTTTTACGGTAGAGGATGGGGAAGTTTTAAAATAGAGAGTAGAAGGAGATGCGCTGCACAGCTGTTAACCTGCAGACTTTGTGCATTCTAGTCAAGTATAATGGAAGACCACAGTATCAGTGGCACCGTGTGCTCATCACCCCGAGCTCTGTTAAATGTGTCTAGCTTGTGAGTCACTTCAGCCTGCTGCCCACAGCCCGCATACCTCCACCAGCAGCTGCCTGATGACCGTGTCCTTCCGCCCTTTCTCAGGGGTCTGCACTATGGTGTTTCCGCATGGCTGCTGGTTCTGCAGGGCCTCAGTGCTCACCAAGAACTCCACCAGCCCTGGAGGAAACAAATCAGTCAGTCCTGCCTAGCGGCACCATGCAGCAGGAGTTGCTGCCATTCCTGGGAGTTTTCAGCCTAGAGGCCCGTTGCAGATGGGCCAGCTTCTTTCCCTATTTATATAGCTTAGTGAATAGCTTTCCCAGCTATTCACATCAGAACGAATCCTGGAGCAGCTGAGCTGCACTGCCATTGAAAGGTGACTCTGTTTTGGTGCTTTTATTCACCAGAACTTAAGAGCACCATAGTGGTGCCAAAGCTGTTCAGCAGTCTGCTACTCTGCATGCACCCCGTGACTGCTACCACAACACGCAGCAACAGCAAAAGCAAACTGTGAGGGTCTCATAGGGCAATCGTCTAATCTCTGGGAGGGATGGGGCTGACAGAATGTCCTTGCCAGCCAGCCAGCAATGCCTATAGCTTCAGAAGATGTTGCCCAGGGGCAGTAAGATTTGATGATGTTTCTTTTAGTGCTAGACACGGCCGTGGAGTCTACCAGGCTTTACGTCCCGCATAACCTCAGATGACACAAACAGCTGCAGTATTTTCCAGGAAACTGTTGCTCTAACTTCAGATACCAAAATGGGAGAACAGCACAGAGAATGCCTTCCTGCAGCTTTCAGCATTCTTTGACTTTTACCTAGAGATTTGGGAGTCACCAGCCAAGCCACTGTTTTCCTCCCGTCCTCACAGAGACAATGAGAGTCTTCCTCCTTTTCCACCGCAGTAGCCAGAAATTGAGTAGACTGAGCCAGAATCACACTGACCTGCCATTTGTAGAGAGGTGTAATCAAGGAATGGTCTTGAGAGAAAGGGAGAAGACAGAGAGCTAGGAAAAATTAGCAATGTCTATTTCTTCTGCAGCAAAGGAGCAGGAAGCTGGAGTTGTACGCGGGCATTTCACGCACATCGAAGGTATAACGTAAGAATTTCAAGGAGGAAGGGGCCCAAGGCTACTCAGAGATAAGAAAGAAGGCTAGGTGTAGGCAAAGAGCATACAAGCAGGTACAGGTTTGGAGAAGGATTTAAGTCTTCCTTACTCTGATGCAGGCTGTCAGGTAGTTGAAAACAGTGGCTTTCAGCGTGAAGGCCTCACCACGCACTACAGAGTAAGGGAGGGTGAGCTCTACAAAGAAAGGCTGGAAGGCTCTGAGGGACACTGTTGGTGACAGGCCAAAGCCTGTGTCTGGGGACATGCAGAACGCACTGGCTTTCCATTCAGTGATGGTGTCAGGGATGGTCACATCTACTTCAGCATTTCCCTCAGAGCTGGTAGGGACACAGAGCAGGGTTTCAGTCATATTCTGGAGATCATCTATTTTTTTTCCTCAGCCTAATGAACAGCAACTACTCACAGCAAATTCCTGTCCAGTTAGGATATGGGCACTGTGTTTTGCAGATCTTCCCAAAACATTCTGTACTTAGCATTCTTGAGCAATCCCTCTGTCTACTAAAATATTCGCTCACCAAAACATTGACACTTTTACAGAAGCTTAACCATCTTCTGAAGTTTTGCCCCAGTTCCCATAAACACTTACTTCACTGAAAATACGTCCCAAATCCATGTCTCAGGGAAGTACTTCCGGATGGTCTCCACAGGGCTGCCAGCATCCATCTGTTTTAACATTGCATAGTCTGAATCATCAAGGAGTTGTGAGGCACTGACTAAAAAAATTTGTTACAGGAAAAGGTAAGTCAAACTCCATTCTAATCAAGGAGGATACAATGCTTCCAGTTAGTGGTTATTCTTTACTAGAATTATAACATTGAAAGAACAACTTGAATAATTTGATCATGGGAAGACTCACAGATTCAAACTCTGAGCTGCCTCTTTGTTGGAACCGAATACAGCATTCCCTGTACTACATTCTTATCCTCACATCAACTGCTCATTGGAAACAAATGTATTGTTCTTTTGTCATTTCAATATTTCATGTTTTCTAAAGCTTCTTCTCTTACAGGGGTTGATCATTCTAATTCCACTGCCAGCAAATCCAGGAACACCAAATGTTGTAATAATGGCTACTGAGGCTACTTTTCTGTTGCACTAAAGAAGTCAAATGTGGAACTCACTGCCTCCAGATATTATGGTTGCATATAGCTTAATAAATTTCATTTAGTGGATTGTATTTATACATGGCCAGAAACTGCAGTTACACTTATCCTTCCAGAGTTCCAGACTAGGGAGACCAATTCTGACATTGTTTCACAGTGATGTGCCTTATGAAAGGCTTTCCATCAGTCTTTGAAGTCTCTACACCCTTTCATAGTGCACAGTAGTCTCAGGCCATGCTCTGAAGACAGATCTGGCGTTTCAAAACAGAAGATCAGATCTGTTATGACTAGGAGCTTCCTCAAGACTAAAGGTTATTGTTTATAATATTAGCTGAGCTACTGTACCACAAAAATAAGTAAATAAATAAATAAAAATCTCACAAGCTAGTTATTTAGGAAAAAATGGAAAAAATCAGTCATTTAGGAAAAAAAGTAATGTTTTTTTTTCTGTCTTTACAGTCACTGATGCTGCAAAGAAGTGAAATGACCTACACAGACTCTTTAAATCATATGAATGGGAAAACTGGGAACAGAACAGAGTTTTCCCACCCTCAGCGCAACACATCAGCCCACAAACTCATATCACCTTCTCATCACCTTGGCCTACTTTTGCCATAGTTATTTCCCTAGTAATTGCTGGAATGTAACTACCTTGAAGTAGAGACTGTCACTGTTTAGGTTGCTATAGGTAAACCCTGATTTGGTGGAATAAAGCCTACTCTTCATGCTTGGCAGTCTATCCAACGTAGATGGATGGTCTTAGCATCTACGGGATCCTTGCTGTAGAGCTTGGCATGTGATTCACTGAGCACACAGTGATAACCAGATATTTCTTTTTAGGTGAAGATAAGGTGTATCAGTTTCATATTTCAGGACTGAATCCAGAAGGAAGTGATACTGAATTAGGCTGACATATCTTAGTACAAAGTTTGATTGTTCTAGTGTAATTAGTATTCAAAGAAGTAGAGGCGAAGAAAGGAGCATGATGGTAAATTTTAGGTAGTTGTGTGGAGATAAAATGAAGCAGGTCTTCTTACTAGAACCACTGTAACTCCTTTCCATCATATGTGCTGTGTAATGCTGGCAGATTTCAGGTTTATGGATCTTGTTGCTAGTGAAGACTTTTAAGCCTATTAGCTGTTAAACAAAAAAGAAAGAACAATAAAAAAGCAAATAACCTTTTGAAATTAAGCTATTTTTAATATGCCAAGCATAGATGTATCTGGAATTGGTCAGAACAGTAAAGGCTTGTATATAAATGCTAAGTAGACTGGTTCAACCCACATTATTGAAGCTTTATCATGATATATTCATCCCAAGGCTAAATCCTGACATGATTAGATGAAAAGCTTCGAAGACCATAGTCTACCTTGGGGACATCTGTCTTGGTGAAAATGATGTGTGAAAAGCATTGAATTGAAAGTACCCAAAAAAATTACAAGCAGGACTCTTTAGATTTTTTTTTTTAATGGGTTATTACAGTAACCAGAACTTTATTAAACCACTATCTACACCAAACAGAGAACTTGCATGACTGAGGAAGGGATTTCTGGTATTAGGCCAGTACTCACGACTGTTTCCTTATTTGAGCCTATTCACCAGCTTCTGCCCTAGCACTGAGGAGACCCCTCAAGGTTTTAATGGCTCAGAGGAGCACTTAGGTACCAGCAATGGGCTATACAGAGGCAGGGACTGGGCCTGGCTGTTGCATACACAGATTAGCAAGCTCACAGCAAACTTCATTCAAAAAGACCTTCAAGATGGGGAAGAAAAGGATGCTGTATTCTAAAAAGAAATAAAGAAAAATCAAATTCTGGTGCTTACTTTGAGAATTTCATAAACATCACCTTCACCATCAGGAGAAATGGGTACATAGGTGAATCCATTCAGTAATATGTTGTCAAGTGACACACAGGGGTTTACATCTTCTTCTTCCAAGTAGTAGTCCTTGAAGCTATAGCCCCGGAGTTCCTTGAGTGGGAGAAGGTTATACACCTTGGAAAATACAAACAACCAGGTAAAAACGTGGCAAGTTAGCCCTCACAGGGACACAGAAACTAACAGTCCAGTGATAGAACACGGCTACTAAAACCAGTTATGGTGAATGCCTTGTATCCATCCTGGTGTTAATAAGTACCTAGTTAATTTTTTTATTACTTATTACTAGAAACAGCAAAGACTTACGGAGCTGGGAGAGAGTTCATCTTCAGGCTTCATGAGGAGGACGCTCCTGTCCACAGCACGGAGGGCACACAGGGACCTTGGTGAAGAATGGAGTTTCAGGCTTGTGTTGGAGGCAGGAAGTTCTTCCTTGGGTACAAAACTCAAGTTGACCTGCAACACCAGAAGTTAAAGTAGCCAGTTTTCCAGATGCTGTTACACGCTCTTAGATACCGAAGTATCTAGCTTTGTGAATTGAGTTCTGCTAGTGCTCTACAACTCTTCTAATGTATTCAGCTTTTACTAGTGTGATTCATAATGACTAGCAGTTATCTTTGTTATTATGTTTTCCTTCATTTTTGCAGTTATGGCTTTGTAACCTATTCTGAATATAAGTTACTAAACCTCAGTCAGTGTCTGATGAGACAATTTCATGAACCCACTGTGAATTCTGCCTCCATGATGGTATTAATAACTGAACGTATGGCCATGAAGAAACAGAAACACTGATTTTTACTTACTTTATTGAGAAGGCAACTTTCAACCCGGAATTCTCCTGTACTAGCAATGACTTCTCCACTGGGTGAAGTGGTATACACAAGCATTTGTGCCAGGGGAGCAATTGTCACATCAACAGGTAAGATCAACTGGAATATCCCATAAGCTGAAAGAAAGAAGAAATATTAAGCTATATAACAAGATGTTCCAGCCTATATATTTGTCTTCTTGATATAAAGAAGTTCACAACTTTAGTTAGGAGGGGCATGAAGTCTACATGACTGAAGTTCATGCTTATTGCTGAAGACATCTGCATTCAGTTGTGATAGTGATTACGTAATAGCCAAATTAGATGTTTGGTGGGTCTCAACATGCCCTCTGGATCCTCTCATCCTCTCCAGCTATCATCTGGCATTACCTCCTAATGTTCCTAGCCCCTTTATTCCTCAAGCTCTAAGATCTTCTGCAGTCTACAAAACAATAGATGACCAAAAAAGAACATACATAGAAATTAGGGAGAGTTGTAGCATGCAGTAGCAGTCAAGGCTGCAGTATGATTGAAAGAAAAACTCCTCAAAGTTACTCCTAAGCTAATATTTACCTGAACACCAAACTTTTACCCCAGCTACCGTGGGAAGTGCTCCTAGAAAGGATCTTTCTAGGGGGGCCTGAGTTTTATTTCACAGTTTGTATGAAGGTGATAGAAAGTCTCTCGGTATGAGTCAGGGTGTTAGTTTAGTTACTACAACTAGTGGGGAAGCAGAGTTTTCTAACACCCTCTCACAACATCATGTCTTGTAGCAACCAAGATCTTTTAGTTCTGCATACAGTTTATTCCCACTATGGTGCAAATCCTCATAGACTTCCAAAATGGTTTCCCTGGTCTCATTGTCAAAAGACTTTTAAAGATGCAACACAGACAGTCTCAATCACTCAAACGTGTAATCCATGGACATTTATGTATACAGAATTACATACCTTGGTTGGAACATACATATATACATGTTTTCACAATTATAAGAGAGTAATAACATCCTCAAAGATAAAAAGAGAGACAGAAGGAAAAAGAGACATCTTCCAACTCACTTGTGAACCTTACAACATTGACAAGTACTCACAATCAGAATTGTTTACATCGGTCAGCAGGAAAGCATTGAGAAAAAAAATTGTGTGTATTTTCTGTTATATCTTCTAAAATATTTTGGTCAAAAGCATAGCAACAGAAAGAATTCAGACAAAACAAAACCAATTCAAACTACTTAATCTAAGAAGAATTTAATTTCACAGTGTTCTTCAGTTTTTTAAAATGTTTGAACTGAAATAATTTCTCTATATCCTCCTATCCTCATCTCACAGTAGATGCTAAAAATCCATATTTCTACTCACCATTTCCAGGATCCACAGTCAGATCATAGGTGTCTGCTAACATAATACTGCCCTTTGCCATCACCTATGTAACAGAGAAAGATTTCCATAATCACTGCTGGTGGTGATGAAGGGAAGAAAAATGAATGTTCACTGGGTAAGCTGTAGGATATGTGAATACGAATAGTAGTAACTGGGAGCAAAGAAGACACTAAGCAAGAGTCAGACTCAAATTTACTAAGTTTTTTAAGCCAGAAATGTTCCCTCCTTGAAAGACCAGTGTTTCCTCATTAGTCAGATCCAGTTTCCCTTTTGTACACATTACATGTATATTTCAAGTTAAAATGCATTTTGCCTCTGAACTCACAAAGGTTTGTGGGTTGATGTGCAATTTTCTAACATTTTTGAACATACTGGTGACCAAAGATTGTCCTCACTTTACTCTCATTTGCTTTGTGAAACACAGTAGAGAAAAAATGAATCAGAATTATTTCCATAACTCACACAGAGTTTGTATAGAAGAACACAGGCTGTAAACAACAAGTACTTGAATAAAGTACCTGAAGCCAGACTTAAAACATTCTGAATGCTGCCTGCAATTTTCTCATTTTGAGGAATACTTTCCTTTTTACAACCCCAAATGCTCTTTATACAGTTACTTCACACTCCTATACTCTATGGGAGATATCTGTGACATAATACTGCATATTATAATACTGCATATTACTGCATAATACTGCATAATAATGCTATGACACTGTATTTTAATTTCAAGGTGTGGCTATAAACTGTAAGTTTCCTGACTGGTTACCTGCTCCAATTAAGATAATCTTTCCTAAGCTGCTAGGATAAACAGGAATCCTATGTTTCGATTTATGGTTAACAGTCTTGACATATCACATGGATATGTCTACCACAGTTTTCTATTCCCTGTCTGTTTTTTTATGTCTATTCCCCTGATTTCTTCTAGATCTGCGTAGCTAGAAGAAATCTCATCTCTTCTGTTAGTATCACTAAATGAAATAGCCAGGAAAAAAAATTAGGGGGAAAGAAATACTATCTGAGTGTTCACTTGATTCTTTCTCTTTTCGCAAGCACAAGTCATGGACCATTGTTCAGTCACAGCTGAATTAGTTTATCTTCTCTGCCCTCAATACAGGCATATTACAATTTGTTCCAGTGGCCTTGGTATCCTGAACTTTCCATCACTGATTGATCTACGGAAAAAAAAAAAAAAAAAAAAAAAAAAAAAAGACTAAATTTATCAAGCTTTTCCAATTCTGTAGCTAGAGGTCTTACTTCAGTTTCAGTGGCCAGGTATCTACCAAAAGACTGAGAAGGAAACAGGTTTCCAGATCATCTTTCATCTTCTCGTAGAATGCTAGTTTCTGAGCTGTAACCATTTAGGAACCAGAATGTGGAATGGGATAGGAGAGTATTAAGAAATGAGAGTCTTGACAATATTTTGTACATCGGCATTTTGTCTCTCATCTGTTCTTAAGCAAACACAGGCAACCTACCCAAGTCAAAAAATGGAAGACAACATGGGAAACATTATGGAAATTTGTTTAAGTCCAACTGCTACTGGTCATACTTTCAGTTTCAAGCTCCCCCCACTGTAACTGGCTAAGGACTAATCACCTAGCAATGATATGGTCGCTATGGACATGGATCAAAGTAACCACAAACAATTCTTACCAAATAGTAAATGATAATTTTCCCCTGCTGTTCAATAACTTCTGGTGTGAAGATATAGTGCACCTGGATCTCTGCAGAGGAGCCACAACTTAACGTCTCCAACTTGGGCTCAATTTTGAGGAAGCTCTTACTGGGGGAGTAAAATCGACTTATTCTATGCATGGCATGCTCATGTGAAGGCGTGATCCAGTCACTGACATAACAGTTCAGTTCAGGTTTATATTCAGCCTGATAAAGAAGAATAAAAAATTCACAGCTGACTAAAACCAGGTAACAAGTCACATGAATGTCCATGGGTAAACTCTGGCTACGTTCTGTATCTCTCATTCTTAGATGAAGGTAAAGAAAAAGATACATAGAAAAACATGCACAGGAGACAGAGAAGGGAGGTGACCTGCCAACAAATCTCGCTTAATCTCCTTTTTGGAAGAAAGGCTGATGACTTATGTAAACATATTTCCTCTGCTGAACAAAAAGGACAGAGACAGGCCCCTGCCCTGTCTCTGTCACTCACCCGGATTTCCAGGGAGGCTTCTGTGAACGTGGTAGTATCAATGGAAAACCAGGATAGTCCCTGCTCATCTGTAGTGTAATTGCCTTTGTATATGTCTCCATTCACAGAAATCCTGATGGTTTCATTGGCAATGGGAACATCATTACCATCTACCAGCTTCACCTAGTAAAGCAAAAGCAAACTTCAGGTTTTAAGCTAGAAACAGAAATAATTCCTAAGTTCTAAAAACCCCTCCCCCTCTTCTTCTTTGCCAGGCTAGATGTTTCTTATGGAGAAGAACAAAATAGAAGAATGTGGAAATGCGCATGGTGAGTCCTAAGTTGTTTGAGGTAGCAGATCTTCATCAGCAAACAATCTAATCATCAATCAAACAATCAATCATCCCATGGAACTCATTTATTAGCACCTTGATTTTCTTAGCCAGTTTTAATTGTTCCGTTCAGCCTCTTTGATGACATCCACCACATATCACCTGCCTCTTAGTCCAGGAATTCTGAGTTCAATTAGGCTTGTGCCTTGCCAAAGCATTAGACTAACCTGCATCGTGGTTAGATCTACACTCAGCTCTTTCTCCTGCTGTTCCCATCATGTTGATAAGACTTCCTTGTTTGAGCTCAGCTCTGACTTATTGCCTTATATTGCCTGGTGACCACTAGACCATTGGTGGAACTTGAAACTGTTAACATCCCTGCTCTGCTTTGCTCCTGGATAACTCTTCCTTGTGGAATGGCCCATGCTTACTGCTCCCTGATGTTATCCTTGTATGACAGAACAACAGACTGTCTATTCTTTACTGTGATGACAGCTGGGAGGTTCAGAGACACGTGTTTCTTAGGTACCCCGGCAGACAATAATTTGGCTGCCTTTGTGGAGGTTATGTCATCTGCACACACTGCTATTCCAATTGATGAAATTACATACCAGTGTCATGGTTTTATGATTTTTGATTGTTTTTTTTTTAATGGTTTTTATGATTTTTATCAGTATTCCATGTTATAACATAATGTAGAGAACTGGGAGTTAAAGAGTCCAGTTCCATGGACTGCCAATTTTTTGAGTATCTGGTTTTCAGAAGAGAAGAAGAACTACATACCCCAGAAGATTTTTTCGCTTCTGTTTTCTGTTCAGAGAGATAGATAAAACTGTTCACAAGACACAGGACATTACTTTTTCCCTTTCTGCTCATCTCTGCGTGTTTGCTCCCTAGCTGTCTCACCTTCAGCATTAGAGTAAGACCTTTGGTTTTCGGACACTCTCTCATTTTATTTTATTTATTAGCTTCAATTCCAATTGTACTGTATTATTGTTATCTTGCATTCCAATATCATATTTAGTAAATTACCTTTCCTCCTCAGATCATTGCTACTGTTTTGTTTTTAGGTCCACCTCCCTACCCTTTCCTTTTCCCCCTTTCCCAGGCAGGTCTGTCGGTCCCCCCACCCCATTAGTCACGGAACTGTGCTGAACCAGCCTGTAAACCATTGACAAACAGTGAGTTTGCTGTGATATTACACTTTCCAAGGTCTCAGAAGTTACCCACCCAGCCAAAGAGTGGGATCCCTGGTCTGTAATGATAGTCCAACAGGTTAAAGCTGACTTTGCTCATTATGGATGTGATTTCACAGGAGCCTGTTCCAGTCACAACTATTCCTGAGAGAGAACACAGTAAAGAGCGATTATTAATAAACTTTAACATTTTTAGACATGCCATTCTACCTTCCTCATCTTTGCCAAGCTCACCTCTTGTAGCCTACAGTTAGTTTCCCACATACATGATGATACATACCTGTACCATCTTCTGTGATCTTGCCTTGCACCTCAATGCTCATCTTATATCCCCTGCGCCGGAGTTGAAATATCTTAGTTCTTACTACAGCAGAAACACACCCGTGAACATCTGCCTAAGTAGGGATTTGAAGAGAAAATAGAAACAACTTGGGTGCCTTGTAGAACAGAAACTCTCAATGCAACATGCTTAATTTGTGTTCACGTAACCTCAGATTTATGTTCTTAATACTTAGTTCTACAGCCATGCAGAGCTTTCCTTATTAACTCCTTTCCTTATTAACTCCAAAACAAAACTCAGTTTTGTTTGTCTTCCTGCTTCTTTCATTGTCTTACTCTCCTCATTTTTTTTACTTTTTCCCTTCTGCATTTGACCCATATATATATTGCCTTCTTGTCTTCTCATTCTCTATGCTTTTGCTCCCTGCCAATCTTTCCCACAGTTATGACATTCTGTCACAGGTTCTTTCCTAGTTTGTTGATAAATACCGGACACCTCACAGCTGCTAGTTAGTTACTAATTTCACTGGGGTCAGGATTTCAGCTGTGGCATTTTCTTCATTTCTGTTTCCAGTTTAATGACTGCTCTCTGAAGAACGTCTTCCTCTGAGAACATCTGCTTTTTTCCTGAACAGTTATCACTGATGTCCTACCATCTACCAACAGTCACAGTTTTGCCCTCTTAATTTAAGCAATACTGCCCATTACTCATAAGAAGGACTCCTACATTTTAATCTTGTAGCTCACCTGCCTGGTGAATTCTTCACATACAGCTTCTCCTTCTTTTCTATAACAATGTGAAGCAGAATGGGAAAATTTCCGGCACACTTGGACACTCACCATACCAGGTACTGGTTTTCCATAGGTGTAACTATAATCACAAAGTGTTAAACAATATACTAGATGATGAGATAAGCAGTCAGAGTCACATTCAGACATACATCCTTAAGAACTGTGTATTACTTAGTAGTATTTCTTCTTAAAGCCCAATCTGATACTCTGATCATTCTAGTGATTATGTTTCCATCATTATAGTGGTGAGATTCTTACATTAGAGTCTGATCTAGGTGGGAGGTCTCCATAGCAATGCAGAAAAATATTGCATAATATGATGTCAGTTATTGCATAATATTATGTCAGTTGGGAGTATCTTTGTATCACAAAGAGTCAAGGGTTCAGGTGAACAGGGGCTCAAGCAGAACAATGTATAAGTTACAGACTACAATGTTGGTTCTAAACAACCTGCTTAAGTGATGTCAGATCTGACATCCCCAAGTACTGGAAGGTTCAGGAGTGGTAAAGATCTAACTGATGAGATGTAAAGACAGAAAGAGAAAACGTAGAATAAACGAAGAGAGAACTGCTGATTGGTTTGACATCATCCTGTAAGGAATTGTTAAGGTCAAGTAGCAGCCTCAGAACATACAGGGTGGAACAAGCCTGCCTGCATGAGATCTCTTTTAAAAGTCCTTTTTTTTATGTGATTTTTGTTGTTGTTGTTTAGTTCATAGTGGAAAGGAGAACTGAAGGATGCTTGAGAGAGATTTACTCCAGCTCTGTGACTCACAGACCACAGACGGACACTGGAAGTTCCTTGTCCTCAATTGTGATCATCTTAGGCAGCTTCACCAGGACCTCATACTTGGGCAGCACTGGATAGGAGACAGAAAATCTAATGTAAGAAGAGTGAAAAGATGTATACTGCACAGAAACCCAAATAGGGAGCCAGAATCAGCTCAATATGAACCATTAATGGTCTGCAGTACCACTGCTACCCCTTTCTTATGTTTCTGTTGACTTCACCATCATTTATTTTTAAAGGGAATTAGGAAGGGTGAGGGTTGTAGCCTCTACCTTCCCTCATTTGCAGCACATACTTGTGTGACCCTATTGATGTCAGACAGTTATATAGATTGATCAGATATGCCTATTTAGATGGACACACTGCTATCTGCATGTTGCATTCCATGTTTCACAACACATAATTTTTGTTAAGCCAAAGCAGTGCATTCACCACCTATGTGATTTACTACATTGAAACAGCTCAAATAATTGATTCTCTCTTGATGTTTCTTATTGTTCTGGAAAACCCAGCCTGCTATGAAATCTCAGTTTTTTTTCAAGTGAATGAGGTGGCAATAAAATCTGATACGAAGGGTGGCAAGCAAAAAGCATGTTTTGTTTCTGACTTGTTACATCTCGCTTCCTAGACTTCATCCTGCAACACTATGTCCCTCAGCTACTCAAGCCCAGGACTGTGTAATGGCCTACTTCTGGGGTTTGCACCTGAAGTTTTTTTTGTTTTTCCTGGTGCAAGGAAGTAAAAGGAGTGAGATTGCACAGCTTCTCAGCTCAGTGGTTCAGTACTCTTCAAAAGGCTCAGCATGAGATGTAGAAGAGTTAGCAAAGTGGGAATGAGGCTAAAGAGCAAATAGAAGGGAAAGTAGCTTACCATAAGTCTAGGAAAGGGACAAATATCTTTAGTTTGGGGAGGAGGCCTGTAACATCTTTGTGGGAGGAAGGCACAGCCCATCTGTTACAGTGACAGGGTGGAGCCTATAACCCAGTTTCTGTTTCGGACATTTTTATGACCATAATAGTCTCAGTGCCTAACTGTGACCCAGATAAGACAGATCCCAAGCACTTCAGTTACAGTCTTCTTTAGATCTGCATCCTTTGCTTTCCAGAAACTGTGAGTTCTGAACAATGAGCTCGGTGAATCAAGTTGTTTACAGCCAGGGAGCCCCAGGGAGAACCAGCAAGGGGTACAGGCCAAGAGGCTCCTCAGATGCACATAGGCTAGGCAGAGACACATCTATGCACAATAGAATTGGGGTTAGATTAGGTAACCCAAACAGCACATAGTTCCTTATTCAATCTCTACTACCAGCCCACTTTCATTTTCTTATAACATTTCTCAAGTGGTATTCTTTAAATTGGGGTGCAAGGGTTGTCTTCAACCAACCAGTTTCTAAACTTTTCCAGAAACAAGAAGAAAAGGAAAAAGAAAGAGAAAGAGAAGCGATGAAGAGATTGTGAGTCAGGATCACCAAAATGCTGTAATTGCTTGCTTTGTATCTAGTGCTACTTTCAGCAAACTGCATGCCTAAAAATGCGAACTTGGGGTGGGATTTACAAAGAAGCCATCATTTACAAAGAAGCTACATCCTTCTGTATCAGCCCCTCTGAATTCCATTGCCTATGTATTCAGATTTCTTGTTTTCTCCATGTCATTCCTAAAAAATCCCAAATCCCAAGGAAGCCAAAGTCAAAGGTATTTCGTCAGCCCTGCTTGCAGCCCATATCTCCTTTCCTTACCATATTCCTCTACAGAGAAGGAGTGCTCCACGTGGGCAATGAAGTTCTTTTGCACGACTATTTTGTAGGAGCCTTGGATGGGGTCAGAGGTGAGGGGGAAGGAGAGCTGTGTAAGGCCAGTCTCAAGTTCTACCCCTTGCCATTGATAAACACGGTTTCTCTGGGGATCCTGCAGATGAGAATAACTCCATGTTACGAGTAAGTTACGTACACAGTCAGGGCAGTTTGGTGAAGGCTGCTCCCAAGGACAAAGCATTGGAGTGTCCAGGAAGTGCAGATCCAAGCTGAGAAATGCCTAACCTTAAATAATAATCTATGAAGAGCTGTGACTTCAGGATCTCTTACCTGCCAATTCTGCATAACTAGCATGCAATAAAGCACATTGTTTTTAACCACAGATGTCCTGTGCTGTCTCCTCCTCATAAACATGTGCATGCTTACAAAGGACGAGGCCAGGAAGTTGGAAAAGAAAGACTGACAAGGTAGCAAGGCATAAAGATGGACAGCAGGAATTAATTGAGCATGGGGAGAAAGAAAATTTTTGGACTGACTCCTTCACTTGCTGTACAGTCTGTAACAGGAATTTTTTTGTGCTTGGGATAGAGCATGCTTGAGAAGTAGCGCATAGTATGCTGAGGAATTAGATACATGATTTACCTGAGAAACTAAACAAGTCTACATAGATAAGAGTCCAAATGTTGTCATAGGGTGAGGATGCAGGGGAAGGAGCACAGAGTACACCAGAATACAGTAAGCACATCCAACATATGTGCATCCAGCTGAGACCTCTCCTTTTTTCTGGCTATTCCTTATGCTGGACCAGACATCACTACAGTAGTTGAGTATTGCTCACTATGTACTGACTGTCAATAAGCTGTGCTCCAAAATCATCAGGTCAGCCCCAAATTTCTTGTAGAAGTCACCAAACTAATTGCCCTTTGCAGGCACCTCAGCAGCATGGTTGTTTACAGCCTTTCATTTTCTGCTTGCTATATGTGTTGTATATTGGTTGTCACCAAAAGTCTATTTATTATATACAGCTCAAGATAAATAATTTCTGATGGAGTACATTCACTATTCTGAGGTTATATTCCCATGCTCAGGGAAAATGTGATGTGAATGTCATCTTAGCCAGAGGCCACCACTCAGAAACCAGAAGAGTTTGTCCCCATGAAGCACTCTCTGAGTTTGGGGAAGACACGGGCCATAAAGCATCCTGTGGTTCTGATGAAATCTTATCTGTCATAACTCATAAACCATGGTGAAAATATCACCACTTGTTTTAAAGAACACCACAGGGCCTCATTAAAGGAGAAATCTAAATTTTTTTTTACAACTGCGCTTGTAGTCTCATTGCCATTTCTTTGATGCATTTATGGAGAATGCATTTATGGCAGCCAGCTAGTTTCTCCTGGGAAGCTTTTTTTTTTTTTTTTTTTTTTTCTTTTAAATGAAGCAATGGGTCAAATTAACAGGTTAGAAATAGGTTCACACTAATACCTGCCTTTGTGGCTGACTATGATTGCTTAGCAGTGTTAAGGGTGAAAGGATGAACATTTGTTTCTTTGGCACTTAGCAGTGCTAACTTAGCACCTTAAGTTGCCACCTTCCTTCATTCCTGCCACCCTTTCCTTTGGGCCAGTCCAAATTTCATGCAAGTATGAAGTAAACTAGTGGATCTGATTTAATACATTAAAAACAAACAAAAAATAACAACAACAACAGCAACAACAACAAAAACAGCAACAAAGCAAAACAACAGCAACAACAACGACAACAACAAAATCCTAGAAAAAAAAAACAAAAAACAAATGGATGAATTTGCTATTAGGTGAGTTTCCTATTCTATAAGAACGCCTCATTGGAGTATGTGAAAGCCAGAGAGCAGTACTACACTGAGAAGCTGCAGCAAAAAAGGGAGAGGTGATGGTGGGAGTGGGGGATGGTGGGACTGGCCTTTGTAAACTGTTGTAAACGCCACTGACAAACACTGTGCCTCACAGGCTGGAGCTGAAAGCCCAGCGTGGCCTTCTTAGTATTTTCAAACTAAAGCTTTTAATGATACTGATACAAAAACGGTTACAAAATTATTGATGGCAGAGGATAGGCTTTCCTTCTTGTTCATTTCATGAAATTCCTGTAGTCAGTCAATTGTCATCTAATTAAAAGGAAAGGGACCTGTTCTTTCGGGGCTCCAAACTCACAAGAAGGACTTAGCAGAAGGTACTTCTGAAGTATTTTCCTCTACCTGATACCCCACACCCCAGTAGTCTCTTACCCTTCCTTTTCTCTTGCTATTAACATGCTGTCAGTTGCCCACCAGCTCTGCAACTCTGTTCTGGTAGTTGCTGAGGGGAAGAGGGAGTGATAGCACTCCGGCAAGAGGATAGAAAAGAGGAAAATTGTGTCCCAGCCTCTGTCTCCTCTGGTCTGGCAACACTTCCAGCTTCAGAGAGGCAGATCAGAATGAAGACATCAACCCTAAGCTGCAAGGAGTACTACTAGAACTGACTATGTAGGATCCATGATCACACAGACCAAGCTGAGATTTGTACATACTAACTTCATCATTCTATCACAACTTAGGGCATATCACCAGGTCCTTCCCATCAATTTTCCACTGGATGATGTCCCACATGATAACTGCAAAGTGATTTACTCAGCTGAAATAGTGGATATAGTGAGTACTTAATCGATTCATTGTCAGAATCATCCTTCCTATTAACTTTTGCCTGTCACTGAAGTTTGACTGTTAAAACAAAAAACAAGAAAAAATAAAACAACCAAACAAAAAACAGGCTTGCTTGGGAAGACAGAGGAAAATGTTTACTCACATAATTTTATTTCTTTACTTTTACTTATTAAATGTATTTATATGGTTTTGGACATATTTTGCAGACAGATAATCCTAGATCTGCTTGGGAAGAGGAACAAGACATTCATGCGCTCTAGCCGTACTTCACAGCATAGCATGTACTCATCAAGTATTTTGGTCCGACAGCACAGAATCCTCAATCAGAGAATCAATATCAGAACTTATTCAGATGTCATTATCAATGTTAGAACTTATTTAGATATTCAGTCTTCCTTTACACACCATCTGTTTTCACTTGCACCTCAGCATGAAAACACCACTACTGGGTAATAATACCGAGCGTTCACATTCTGCTGAAATAATAATCATGCAGTTATGCACTTACCTGAACATAGACGAATGGAAACTATGGGGAAGGAACAAAGGAAAATCAGAGTTAGAAAGGAGAATCACATGCGGATTAAAGCAATTTTCAGTTTTGAACTGAAAGACAGAAAACCAGCATGCTGAGAAACCCTCTGAGCCATTTTCTGTATTTGTGCTGCATGCTCATTTTTTCATAAATAGTACTTTAGAGCTCCATCTTGTTGTCTTACCACGGTTTGAAAACATGATCAAGAATTCTCAAATAACTTGTCTGCATGAGGGCTGATTAACAAATAAACTAAAAGGTGAACCTATAAGAGTGATCAGTTTCTTCAAACCAAATCCTTTTCATCCTTCTCTCTCGGTCTCTAAGCATGTGGTGGCACTTATTGCTGAAAGTATCAGTTACTTTCAATGCAAACTTGTCTCACATTTTTTCTCTGATGAAATCTCTGTCTATGGACTTATTCCTTTGAAAGTAGTACGTTCCTTTGAAAAATCAGGTTCTAAATATCTATATCCCTTTGAAATAAAAGGAGCAGTTATTAGTGGAAACAGATGGACTGTGTCCCAGACAGAATATGACCTATGGGATGGGTCAATGGTATTGTGAGAAAGGATCATTTGCTGTAAAGGTTCTCTTCAGTTTTTTTGGATGTGGATAATAAAGGTGTTAAATGGGAATTAAGCCTCTTGGTTAAAAACAAGGAATTATGTGCATACCTTCTCATTCAGTGGGTGGAAATCTTTATCCAGAGAAACAATCCGAAACAGAACTGAGAAGTGTAATGAAAAAGAAGGAAATTTTGTTGTTAAGATTTATAACAATTACCATCAAACATCAATGTTTCAGTAACTTTTAACTCAGATTAATTTCACTGATCAACAGATTCCAAAATGAGATCCTTAAGTCATGGTAGTGATTTTTTTTACACCCATTTTCTTACTGATGGTGAAAGACGAACAAATTCAGAGGGAGAATCAGATCTTGGCTGAAAAGAGTTATCTGTGGGAAGTGCTTGTTCTGCCCTGTTGGTTCAGATGCAGCCAAGGGAGACAACCCAGATTTGTGCTTATAATTGAGATGGAGGAATGTGAATCTGTGCCTCCATCTGGCTGAGATATTGTGCCCAGAGGGCAGAGAATACAAACAACAGTGGTACCACATGCCTTAGAACTCAGCTGACAGAAGTAAGATTTTCTTTTGGCTCTCAATCCCCCCCCAAAAGAGCTTTGAAAACTTCTTTAATAAAAATATTGTCTGGGGAATTAAGTCCAGAAGATTTTCTGCTTAACACTGCACCAGAGTTAACACCAACCCAATTCTCTGTACCTGTCTGTCCAGGCTTGTAGATAGGTTTGTCTGTCTGTACAAAGACCAAACTCTCAGAATTCTTGACCAGCACTGACTTGCGGCTTCTGAACTGCAGCGTCTCTCCCTTCACCGTCACAGTGAGAAGTGCCACTGATGTGCTGTTGGATTTTGAAAGCTGAGAGAAAAATGAAGATCATAACTGCTTTACTGATTCACCTCACTGCACTGAGCCTTTGCAGGACAGAGTCTCTGTAGAGACATGAAAGACACGAGGTTGGAAACAAGGGTAAAGCATGATTTTGTGATGTGAACTGGGAGGGCTCATTGAGGGAGGTGATTCACCCCTCTACTTCTTTGTAGTGAGACCCATCTGTGGTAATGATTTCAGACCTGGGGCCCTCAGCTTAAAAAAACATGCCTCTATTGGAGTGATAATCAGAAGGCTGGAGATCTCTCCTATGAAGACAGGCTGAGGCAGTTGAAGTTGTTCAGTCTAAAGAATGAAATGCTCTGAAAAGACCTTACAGCAGTCTTCCAGCACCTAAAACAGGCCTACAGGAAAGCTGAGGACAGAGTCTTCATCAGGGAGTGTAGAGAAGAGGGAATGATTTTAAACGAAGAGGATAAATTTAGATAAGATATCAGGAGCAAATTCTTCACTATGAGGGTGATGAGGCACTGGAACATATCTATCAAGGAAGCTTGGATGGATGCCCTATCCCTGGAAATGTTCAAGACCAGGTTGTATGAAGCTTTGGGCAACCTGATCTGTTGGAAGATCATAGAATGACTCAGGTTGGAAAAGACCTTAAGGATCATCAAGTTCAACCACAACCTAACCATACTACCCTAACTCTAACAACCCTCCACTAAATCATGACCTTGAGCACCACATCCAAACAGTTTTTAAACACATTCAGGGATGGTGACTCAACCACCTCCCTGGGGAGCCTATTCCAGTGCTTAACAAGTCTTTCTGTAAAGAAGTGTTTCCTAATATCCAACCTAAACCTACCCTCGCACAACTTCAGGCCATTTCCCCTCGTCCTGTCACCTGTCACCAGTGAGAAGAGATCAACCGAGACTAAACAACCCCAGTTCCTCCAGTCTCTCCTTCTAGAACATATTCTCCAAGCCCTTCGCAAGCCTTGTTGCCCTTCTTTGGACCTGCTCCAGCACCTCACTGTCCTTTCTGTGCTCAAAACTGAACACAGTACTCGAGGTGAGACCTCACCAGTGCTGAGTACATGGGCAGGATTACTTCCCTAGTCCTGCTCACCACACCATTCGTGGTATAAGCCAGGATGCCACTGGTCTTCTTGGCACAATGCTGGCTCATATTCAGCCTACTGTACGTCAGTACACCAAAGTCCCTTTGCATCAGGCAGCTTTCCAGCCACTCCCCACCAAGCCTGTAGATTGTTGTGACTAAAATTCAGGACCCGACACTTGGCCTTATTGAAACTCATACATGCAGTTTACTTTGGCCCATTGATTCAGTCTATCCAGGTCCCTCTGTAGTGTCTTTTTCCCCTGTGCTGGCAGATCAACAGTCCCTCCCAGCTTGGTGTCATCTGCAAACTTACTGAGGGTGCACTCAATCCCCTCATCAAGATCATTAATAAAGATATTAAATAGAAGTGGCCCCAGTACCAAGCCCTGGGGGACAGCACTTGTGACTGGACGCCAACTGGATTTAACTCCATTGACCACAACTTTTTGGGCACAGCCATCCAGCCAGTGTTTCACCTAGTGGAGTGCATGTCCATCCAAATCATGGGCAGCCAGTTTCTCCACAAGGATGTTGTGGAGGACAGTGTCAAAGGCTTTACTGAAGTCCGGGTAAACCACATCAACAGCCTTACCTTCATCCACTAAGCAGGTCATCCTGATGCAGAACAAAATCAGGTTTGTCAGACAGGATCTACCACTCACAAACCCATGCTGACTGGGCCTGATCTCCTGGTTGACCTTTAATTGGTCCAAAATGGCTACCAAGATTATCCATTTCATAACCGTCCCTGGAACCAAGGTGAGACTGACAGGTCTATAGCTACCAGGATCATCTTTCCAGCCCTTTTTGAAGATGGACGTCAAGTCTGTCAGTCTCCAGTCCACCACGACATTCCATTAGCCAGGATTGTCGAAGGATGATGGAGAGTGGTTTGGCAACCACATCCGCCAACTCCCTCAGCACTCTAGGGTGCAATCTATCTGGCCCCATGGACCTGTGAACATCCAGCTTTCGGAGCAGGTCCAAAACTATTTCATTGTAGATCATGCAGGGTCTATTCTGTTCCCCATTTCTACCTGCCAGCACAAGGAGCTTTGTGTTCAGTGAGTAACAAGTCCTGCCATTAAAGACTGAGGCAAAAAAGGCATTAAGTACCTCAGCCTTGTCCTGATCCTTGGTCACTGCTTTGCGCTTGGCATCCAACAAGGGATAGAGATTCTCCCAAGCCCTCCTCTTGCTGTTGATGCATTTATTGAAATATTTACTGTTGTCCTTTACCTTAGCGGCCAAGTTCAGTTCTAGTTGGGCTTTGGCTTTTCAAATTTTCTCCCTGCACAGCTTCACTATATACTTGTAATCATCATAAGTTGCTTGCCTACTCTTCCAAAGACTGTAAACTTTCCTTTTGTTCTTGAGTTCCAGCCGAAGGTCTCTGTTCATCCAGCCCAGCCTCACTGCCTGTTGGCTTGACTTGACGTGGGGATGGTCAGCTCCTGCACCTTTAAAATAACTTCCTGAAAGCATTCCCAGCCTTACTGGGCTCCCACGCCCTCCAAAGCTGCCTTCCAAGGGACCCTCTCCACTATGGTCCTAAAGAGGCTAAAGTCTGCCCCCTGGAAGTCCAAGGTGGCAGTTCTGCTGACTCTCCTCCATGGTTCAACAAGGATCAAAAAAATCTGTAATTTCTTGATCACTCTAACTCAGATATCCTCCAATCTTTACATCCCCCACAAGACCTCCTCTGTTAAAAAACAACAGGTCCAGAATGCCTCTGCCCATGGCAATGTGGTTGGAATTTAGATGATCTCTTGCACAGTCCCTTCCAGTACAATCCAGCACAACCTAACCTAACCCAATCCAACCCAACTCATTCTATGATTCCTTCAGAAATTAGTAAGATGACTGATATTCTCCATTTCCTTGCATTTTCTCCATGGTTCTTCCTCTTCTCCTTCCAAAGCTGTTAGCCTCTCAGTACCTTCACTTACAAACTTTCCTCTTTGAAGTATAGAAACTGATCTTGCACCATCCATCCTATGATTCATTAAAATGGAAATCATCTAAAATTCATTATTCGGGATTAGTACCACTTGCTTATATTACTCACCAACTAGCCTTCTGCAAGAAACATGAATAAGCCCCAGAAAGAGATAAGATAACATCATGGACTTCAGTTTAATTTTCCACATCCCCGTCTTCTATGGTTTTCATTCCAGTTCATTCTTTTTCCTCTGAGTCTTGAGCAGATCAAGCTGAGATGGGCTAAGTTCTACTTTAAAGTCAAAGTTTGAAGATGAAACATTGCCTAAGTCCTGCATGCACAGTCAGTTTTCTACATCAAATGCTTTTGTTGTTGTTTGGCTCAGCTTAAAACCTCTGATCGCAACACCTTGTTTCTCATCTTTGTTTAGTTCCACTGCATTTTAGCAATAAACGCAGAAGATATGCTCACAGAGATTAGATTACTCACGGAGTAAGGGATGCAGGTAAACAAATCTTTCTCCGACACCACATCATCAATCAAGCTCCTGTTTTCCCCTTGATACTGAATTGTAGCACGCAGTGTTACAGACTCATTCAAGTGAGTCAGCTGAACACAAACTTTTTCAGGAGAATCAGTATGTATCAGAAAGGGCAGAAGCACCATGTACTGCCTGGAAAAGGAACAAAGCAAGAATCAGAACTGTGAAACAGTATTAAGAAAACAGTGGAAGTTTTCTAAAATAAAAGGAAATTAGCAAACCAGCAAGTCTTATCCACTACTATTCCTGTGAATTCAGTGCATAAACATGAGTAATACATCTTACTTTGGGTTTATACGTGTTAAGCCACCTTACTAATTCGCCTAAAAACAGGAAAATGCTTCACAGTAGGGAACAATTTCGATGCCAATAATAGATACTCCTTTATAAAGGCTGCTTTGTTCAGCTTCACAATAGAGAGTAAAGATGGCATGAAAAGTTCCAGGCTGTTACTTTTTTATTATTATTTTTTTTTATTCCACAGTCCCATGAGACTCAAAAGCATTAGCTAAAAAATGTTGGAAATTCATCAGTTGTAGGGTTGAAAAAATTCCAGCGTCTGTGGCTGCTCCTTTTTTTGCCTGTCCAGGTTTCCAAATTCTCCTCATGCTGAGCAAAAATGTGAGTGCTGCAGTTCATGACTTTATTAAGATGAGCACACAGAGCATTTCAGAGGACAGTGCTTTGTCACAACAGAAGTATACTTGTATCTTCAAAGAACTTCTGGCAAAAGTTCTCAGAGAAAACATTAGTTGGCATTCAGTAAAAGGGATAATTTCACTAATTTTCATTAATAAATCCAATTATTAATTCTGATGCACATTAATTGGTTAAAAAGTAGAACATAAAGAGTAAGAAATAACAGTCTGTTTATACAGCAGAAGGTGGTCACCAGTAAAAATCTCAAGGATCTGTGCAGAGTCCCTGTTGCTCAGTCTATTGCTGAATAATCTGTAAGGTACTGACTAGTGTACCTTTGAAAACTTTGTATTGTGGGTTTGTGTAGAAAATAATAGCAAATGAACCATTCATACAGGGAAAATAATGAATTAAGAAATAAAATATCACCCCCAACAGTGTACACATAGCTAGATTTGCTATTCCCACTCAGAGATTAGCACTGCCAAGAACTCTTGTAAAATCTTCAGAGATAAGTGACAAATGGACGATAAGGAAATATTCTTAACTCTCTTTTCTTAAATAAAGGAATAAAGAACAATTCACAACACAGTTTGGCTATTGTATAACTAAAGGTATGTTGTCATAGTCCCATTTAAAAAAAAAAAAGGTTTTAGAAAAAAAATCATTGAAAGATGTGAGATAATCTGAAATCTGGAAGATTAACATTCTTTAGCACTGAAAAAGGAATGAAAGAAAGATGACATTGTTCATCACTGAAATATCAAATTAAATCAAGGAACCTAGTGGCATCAGGTACTATAAAGCCCAAAAGATTAATTTGGTATGACTAGCTTGTGGCTCTTGAACCTTCTCATACTCTCAAGCAATCCAAGAACAGCAAATAAATATACTCAGGCTGCATCACGTGATAAACAGCAGCTGAATATCCTTCCCTGGGTAAAGAACAAAAGGAGCTAACAGGTACAACTGAGCTTGATAACTGGAGCCCTGCTTGCATGTCCAGTGAGGTGCAGCCCATTAAAAATTACCCAGGTGCTTTCTCCACCTCTTTCTTTCACAGCCTTCTCACCACAGCTTCACCCTGTGCTTCCTCTAATCTCATTTCCCCTGCTTCCTGTCAGTGGCACTGGCAATCTGCATGCAGTGTCCAGTCTACTGAGGGGACAGCTTGACCTACTTCATAGGGAATTTTGGCTTCATTCGGAATTTTGGCTTCATTCCTGTTCACTGTTTCACGGAAATTTTGGCTAATGTGCCGAATGCTCCCCTAAACACACTGTCTTCACTGTCACTGGAGCAAGTTTATGAAATTCACTGCTTATAAACCCCCCTGCAGCTGTTTTGGACATGCTGGTGGAAATGTATAGATGAATTAAAATACTATGAAATCCTTAAATGGCTTAAGTGTCAAAGTCCATGTGTAAATATTCCAGAACAGAATGCTTCTAGGCTACCAGCAGAGACATCATCAGCTTCAGCAGCAGAAGCAGCAGCTCAGTATTCTGAAAACAGATGCAGTGACTCCATCAGAAGCAGGCAACAAGAAGGAATAGGAGACCTCAGAGTAAGGGATTGACTAAAAAATGCTGAGTTTATCTATATAGAGAAGGCAGTATAAGTAATAAAAGCTTAAAATGCATAAACTCTCAGCTATTTCCAAGATCAGACTTTCAACAAAAGAAACAAATGAATTTAATTAGCTCTATAAGTCCCAATTCACATCTATCAATTCTAATACCATCACCAGCTAGCATTTTTGACTACATCCACTATATTGTCAAGCATGAGAAGTTCATTGTAAAATAGTTTACATGCACAACCACATACTAGAATAGGCGAACAATGCCTCCACTTGAATTCTTCCAGAAGGAAGCCAGAGAAGGAAAAAAATCCCACTGTTAGTGTAAAACAGCATCGTAAATTTTTTAGTTGAAAAAACCTCTGGATGTCTTAAGATCAACTTCTCTCTTGGAAAATGAATGTTACATAGACCTTCACAGAAGGAATTTCCACTGTATCTCTGGGAGAGTCATTTCAATGCTGCATTAATGTGGTAAGTTTTTTTCTTCCAGTATCCAATCTGAAACTTATTTGCCTTTCTTTTGCAGCTGTCTGCACCTGAAGCAGAAAGAACAGCAATTGTTGCTGTTCAAAGAAGCTGTCTCCTCAGGCAAAATGTACCTTAGTTGGAAGCTTCATTTTGTTTTGACTTGGAAAACTTCACACCTCTCCTTATCCCATCTCTCTCAACCTTTCCCTCTTCTCTCCTCCCAAAATGGTGGTCAGGTAAGGGAAAAAGAGCAACATGTTGCTCATGGGAGGACTGAACAGTATGGATCCATGCCTTTTCTACCTGATCCCAGGCAGAAATAACAAGATATTACTGTGGGGAGATCAGAGAGCTCTATATGACCCCAGAAAGACTTGGCTGGCTGATCATCTCTAGAACCAGTGAAATAGAGAAGGTGAATGAGACACTGATGGCACAGTATGAGTCAAAAGTCAAAACTAATTTTAGCCTGATACCACTTCACCTCTGAGCACACAGTAAGCAAAGCAGTAAACACTGCACATTATGCTAGATCTACCACTGCTTGTGATCATGAAATCTCTAGCAGGCATCATGAGACCAGATTCAGAACCACACCTCCCCATTCTCTTTTCAAACTGGTTTATCCCCTTGCTCCTATTTCTCACAGCAGAAAACTGCTTTTGCGAGCACAATAATAAGCACAATGATAGCAGCAAGGTCTGAAGAATGAGACGGCTTTGCCTGGACCTGGGACTGTGGAATAAGCCTCTCAGTAGGTGAGCTCATGATGGGCACGCTCAGGTATACCTTCTGCTTGGGGCCCTAAGCAGGGTGGACACTGCAGCCATGCTGCTTGTCTGCAGAGCACTGGAGTGGACACACCAGGGAGAGTGCCAGCGCCTGGCTCAATGGTGGTGAAAGAGAATCTAGGTCACAGATTCTCTTTGAGAACAAGCATGTCTGATGCTGCCAAGGGAAACAAACTATTTTGAAAGAAACACAAGAAAGGGAATAAATCTGTTAGAAAAAAAAAAAAAAAAAAAAAAAAAAAAAAACAAAACTAAACAAGAACAAAAACCTAAAAACAGGAACAGGAACAGGGAACAATGACTCAGTGATCAATACAAGGATACTACAAGAAAGGTAAGTACATGCATGTTCACAGAAGCTGAGCCACCTGAAGATTTCTAGTTATGCATTTAGGCAGAGGTGTTGTGATGATACAGTGCTGGACTAGCTGAAGGCTGTAGCAAGAAAATGGAACACTGGCAGAGTTTTTCAGGAGAGTCAGCGATGGGCTAATAATGGGAAGCAGGGCAGAAGTGCAAGAAATTGTCACAACTGTTTGAAGAATGAGAGAGAGGAAGAAAAGTGACTAGAAAAAGAAGCACTATGACCTCCCTCCCTCCCTCCCTCTTCCATGTGTGTAGCTTACGGTTCTGCAGTGTGAGAGAGATTTCCAGGGAAGAGGAAGAAAAGGAGAAAGATAACAGGCTTGTTGAAGAGCCAGTCGTTCCTCATCATGCTCAGCAGGACGCTGTGACTCAAGCAAACAACCAGACTGGTCTGGCGCTGTTGTTTTCCTGCACTCTGTATTTCCTCTCCACTCTCTGCTGGGTCAGCCTCTTTATAACCGTTCTCTGTAAACAGCCCATGGGCTGGAGGAGATAAGGGCTGGGGGCCAGGGCACATGCAGAAATGTGAGAGCTGCAAGGAGAAGCTGAAACAGAGGTACAGTATTTGGCTAGAGACATTCAAAGTGGGGGAAGGGCATTTATTGGAGAGTATTTGAATTGGAAAGTTTTGAACCACTCATATTCAGATTTCTTCAATCCATCAGGAATCCGGTCTTGGGGAAATTAACTGCATTCAATACAATGTTACCTCCTGAGGGCAGCATGCAGTTCCAGAATTCTGATGTGGGGTAATGTCATATGTTGCAAAAAACAGATTTATAGGTATGTTAGGAACAAAAGGAAACCCTCAGAAAAAGACAATGCATGTATTATTTTAACATTATAGTAGTAGTTTGCTGAAAAAATCACCTAACAGGACAGCTATAGATTACACAATTAACCTGTTTAATGAAATGAGAGGGTGTCTGGGTATGGAAGTAAGTTCTTTGAACGTACATAAAGATCAGTCAGTTCTACTGGGACACATCCTTGCCTCCCCATCATGGTCATCATCTTCCAGCATTCTGTGTTACCTGCTGTGGGGCCATCTGGTCAAGGGTGGAAACTTGGTGTTTCCAACCAATCCAGGTGTTCCAGGTGTTCTCCTCTTACGCTTAGCCAGATTCAGAGCTGTGCTGCAGGGAGTTGCATCCATAACAAAAGTCTCCCAGAAATAGCACTGCTCCCTTAACTCACTCGTATGTGGATCTTTGGTTGCAGCACTGTTACCATAAAATGGTCGATCAAAAACATCTCTAAGACATAAGTTGGAGTGTTGGAAGGTAGCCATTCTTTAGTATCAGTGCTGGATGTATTTAAACCTATTTAAATACAAGGACACAGAGGTTTCCAATTACCTAAAAAAACTGCAAAGTTTTCCACTAAGAAACAAGCTGCAGCTTGTATCAGCAGCTTATGAAGAAGTTCTATTTAGTAAGAAAAGAGTTTGCTAAGTTCCAGCTTGTCGCTAAAATGAAATATTCAGCCCAATCTTACAGAACTCCCTGGGTAGACTGAGTACATTGGATATTTGCAGCATTCCACAGAAGACTACAAAACTGTAGCTGTGGGGCTTCAGTTTCTCATACAGTGTCTGCGCAGTGAAAGGATTGGGTAGTGCTCTTTTTAGAGATTTATAACCCCTGAGTTTTGTTGTGTACGAGTGATCCAGGAGAGAAAATACTTTAGCACAAATCACATTGAATGTGATTACATGGAGCTACATTATTGGCAGGGATTCTGTGATCTTTGCAGAGGGGCTTATAAGATCATAACAGCATAGGCAGCCCTTTGTAAAAGAGTGAATGTTAAGACTGAATATTAACTATGTAGTGTCTTGATTCTGATGTAGTAATCAGAAAACTACACAGAAGAGCAGTGCAAAGGACCAGCAGAAATGTCTGAGGATGGAAGGAAGTCTGAGAATGGTGAAGCCAAGAAAAATTGCAAAGTAATCTGACTCACCAGAGAGCTACATCAAGCAGGTATTCCCCTTATTACAGCTCTGAGTGCATGGGGAAATCACTACACTGAACATGCACACCAAAGAAATGACAACATATTTAAAAGGCATAAATATATGTATTCATTATGTTTCAAGAAAACAGGCTGAATTCTGAGAAATAATTAACGTACTATTCCACCCTCCTGAGCATGTGCTCTAAATACATGGTAAAAGGCTGACAGCCATGGGATTGGTCAACTAGTAATCATCTTCACTGTGAATTTCCAACCTTTTAAAGGGGGGTAGCCCAAACCAGTTCCCACTGATGTTACATTGAGCTGAGGCATCTATTTTGTCATCTTATCCTCAAGAACAGAACACCTATTTGATTGTATCTTGACTTCACAATTTCCACAGCCTCAGCATTTTGTTCTGGAGCTTACACTTACGCAAGCCTCCTCTCCTTCAGCTTATATCCACTCAAGTTATGTGGAAGGCTGTTCTCACAATATAGAAAAGCTGTTCTCATGATTCAATGGTGTTCAAAAAAGCAGTCAGTCTCCCTTGTTTATTCTACATTTCAACACCTCTGGTAAACCACAAAATTAGGAAAGCAAGCTAGAAGCAGTCAGTATTGAGTAAAAGTATTATAAAAATGTCACACAGAGAAGGGATGAACACACATACTCACAGAAACCAAAAGATCTAGCAGATTATCAGTTAAAGATGGAAATACTGATAAATTGGTTGAGTAACTGCCTTTTCCAGTTAATAACTTACGTAAAGCTGCAGTTTTCAAAGCGATAGTGTCCTGGGCATCTGTTGAAGACACGACTCACCCCAAGTTTTCTCTCTTTTCATTCAAGACATTGAAAATTGAATCAACAACGAGCAGAATGGGCACATGTAAAGTATGCTTTGAGGATGAACACATAAAACTAACATTTATCCAGAACCATCAAAAACAGGCATTCAGTAGAGGACCTGCCCACTGTGATCCTTCTTTCACTAATCTATTTACTATCCTCGTGTTATTGAAACAATAAAAGAAAAAAAAACAATTTCAAGAAACTGAACAGCGGAAGTTTTATTACCCTTAAGTAGGTATTCTTATTTGCAGTGCTGGAGTAGCAGCGGGATAAATCTCCAAGGAATCTCCACCAGTTGATCATTCATGAAGAGATTATGTTTTCATATGCATTATACATTAATTATGTTCCCCAAATCATCATCCTATCCACTCCCAATGATTGTCCAACAAATATAGCCTTACTTGGAAATCCTCAATGCCACTGATTGTTCCTCTAGCATTATGACAGGTCCATTGTTAGTCCTTTGGTCTTTATTTTTAACCCCCAATTCACCTTCCTCTGTTCACCTCCATTAAAGATTCCATGTGTAATGCTGTAAGGTGATGGAAAATACAGCAATGATAGCATAGTAGCAAAATCTTAGGCTGCAGCAAGAGAAGATAAGTTCTAATGGAGGAGTTACAGACATAAACAAAGACAAAGGGAAGAAACAGCTTACCCTCAGAAGGCTTCAGGTATGCAAGGATCTCCAACAAGATACCCTTGCCTCCACTGTCAACTCTCAAATGAGAGCTGGGAAGGGGTGGATCCTGGCTCCACTCCTTCGTTTCTACTACACTCCACCCCTTCATGGCATGAACAAATGACTGAGCAAATTAAAGGTAAGCCCTTTCCATTACGGTGATCCAGTACGCTGCAACACTTGTACAATCTGCCTGTTACGACATAGGTTGACAAAGCATATGACAATAGATGATTGGTTCATGGTTGAAATTTGTGTTCCTTTGTAGGCCAGTACTGGATAGTTCTCCTGGACACACATAGCTGCTTAGGCCAGGGAAGATTCAGTTCATGTTCCATCAATCCCATATCGTCCACCACCAGATGTCACACTGATCATACAGTGACACTGGAGCATCTTGATGCCACGCTTCTCCTCCCAACGATCCTGAGGACTGAGAGAGTCTCATGGGGAGTGTACAGACTTTTCAGAGATAATAGGAGAGGGAGGTCCACCCTCCATGGCAAGATACAGGCCTTGTTCCTGTCCTGGGTCAACACTTCAGCTTGCACTGAGACATGTCCTGGCCATCTGTACCATATCCTTTGGCCCAATATCTGATACTGCATAACTATGTCTGATATCAAAGGGGAGTCCTTATTTGCCATAGAGACATGATTAAAGTCCCCTTAGTGATGAAAACTGGAATGTTGACCACAGTGTCTGCAGACCATGTACCTATTACCAGGGGGGACTACCAAACCCCCAACCTCCAATAATCTCCAAGGTGCAAGTAGGTCACATCACTTTGGTCCTACTTGCACCTTTGAAGGCATTCTATTTTATGGGTACCTGGTTCTAGGTTCTCAAGGGCAGGGAACAAAAGATTATTTTCATTGCCAATTTGGGGTCTTACCCAGTTATCGGTACCTGTGATTTGGATCCTAAATGGGGAGGCCCATGTTGTCTGTAGCATCTTCAAGGACATTGGGTCAGTCGTTTCCAGGTCTTTCATTTAGGTCCCACAGGATTTCATAGAATCTTTGTCCACCTCTTGCAGGGACTGAGAATCTGTCCTCAGGGCAGCCTTAAGAATACTGTTATGGTGTTCAATAATGTCTGCCCCCCAGTGTTGTACAATTGCACCAGCAAAATGAGTTCCTAGGTCACTCTTGATGACTTGAGGTGACAGGTGGTGCCCTGTAGGCAGCCACCAACTTGGTGAGTGCCTTGATGGTATATGCCTGGCTTGGTCTCGGCACTGGATAGGCCTGCATTAGTCCACTTTCTGTGTCAGTGCAGGTCAGGGCATATCTCACCCTCTCAGATGGAGGGATGTGCCCTGTGTAATTGACCTGCCATTGCTGGAGAGGACCAAGTCCTCTGTCAAGATGGGCTGTTGTTTCAGGCAACGATCTTGGTCTCATCTTAGAGAAAGCATCACATTCTCTGCATGCCTGGATGATATCAGACAGTTTTATGGGCAGCCCCCATGCTTTAGCAGCTGCCCACATTGTCTTTTATCTGGCATGCCACAGCTTCTGATGTAACCAGACATAGATGATCTTGAATGGTGAATCCTCAATCCATCAGACTCAAGCCAGGGTTTTGTCTTCATCATTTCCTGGTAACTGTAGAGGTTGGTGGCCAGAAAGGTGGTAGACATGTATAGTCCCGTGTTTAACGACATTTCATGTGTCCAACCACATATCTCTGCCTGGTATTGGTCAGATATGAATACCCATTCCTGGGTGGCCCACTGTGAATAAGCCCCTGGTACACAGCCCAACTATCCATGCAGACGTTCTTGGTCATAACTATCCACACACCTCACAGTTCTGTCCATTGGCTATTCTGACCGTTCCCCTCTT